GGATAGATCTCCAAACACCCCCTGAAACCACAGGGTGGGAAGTGCTCCCTCACTGGAGGGAGAGTGAAGACAATACAGTTGCTTCAATTCAATGCATCTGGAGAGACAAGCAAGCAATTCCTGATTTATGGAGAGCTATGTGGAGACTTTCTGAAAAAGCTGTGATAGTTTCTAAATTTCCCACACTTGAGCACAAGTACAAGAAACACTACCTCCGTGACCTTTTGCAGGCTCTGTCAGTCACAGATGTTTCTGGACTTCTTAGTTGAGGGCAGTTTGTTTATATAAGGGAAGTCACCATGGAGCATCACCTACCGTATGAGTGAATGTTTATTTTTTTGGTCCAGATTTCAGAAATAAACCTTTTCTCATGCTTAATAAGGTCTTTTAGAAAGCTCAATACTCTAAATCAGGAGGTTGATCAATTTCACAAGCTAAGAAAAGTGCAAGGTTCTTTCTAGTCTTCTAAAGCTTTGAAATTCGTGCTGTGGATTAGAGAACTGAGTAACCTATGTGTTAAATGAGTAACCTATGTGAATCTTGTACACAGGCTCCAGCACTGTCTGATGGCAACACATTTACAATGGAGAGTCAAGTCTTGGAGTTAGCCTTGGGTTCTTTCTTTTGATGATTTGTGCAATTCATAAAAGGATATATATTTTAAGAGTTTTCAGGGGTAAGCATTTGGTGCATCCCTTAGAGTTGTCTCTTTGGATACCTGCACCCTATGTTGGAGCGCCAAGTTTGAGTCCTGGCTATTCCACTTTTGATCCAGCTTCCTGCGAATGCTCACCCTGGGAGGCAGCAGGTGATGGCCCAAGTACTTGGTTCCCTGCCAACCATGTGGAAAACCTGGATGGAGTTCTAGGCTTCTGGCTTCAACTTGCCTCAACCCTTTAACCTGGCTGTTGAGGACATTTTCAGTGAACCAGCAGATGGAAGATTCTCTGTATGTGCGTGTCTCTCTCCCTCGCTTTCTCTCTCCCTGCTTTTCAAACAAAATTCAAAAAATTTAAGGCTGTTTTTTTAAAAACTGTATTTTCAAAATGACATTTATTACATGTCCCTGTGTACAAGGCTCTATGTTTGGTGCTTTCGCTAGGGGTTAAAGGTTTGAAAAATACCATTCTTTTGCAGTGTAAACAGGAAGGATTTGAGTGGCTGGATTAGTCAGAGGGCAGCACAGGGGAAAGCGTTTGGGGATGGAGACTTATTATGGAAGTATGAAGGAGAGAAATGACATTTCCTGGCTCTGTTCCCAGTATTGTTTGCGTGTGAAATGTGCAGCCCACACACCGGACAGTCCCATTGTCTAAGCAACTGATAGTGCATTTCACAGAACGTGTGACAATGTTTTGGAAAAGAAAATTCCAAAGGGTTTCATTAACCTTTGATATACGTGCTGAAAGCAAGTGCAAAGAACATCAGCTGCAGCGAAAGAGCCTCAAGGTTTGCCCTCTGTCTTCCATAGAAGATGAATGTGTTTTGCCAAAACAAAGCAGCAATTTTCCTGATTCTGTTTTCTTTTAAGTTAGAAAAAAAATTACTCAGGAGTTATAGAAACAAAGAGCGAGAGAGAGATAATGACAGATAGAAAGACAGAATTTTCATCCGTTGGTTCACTCCCCCAATGCCCACAACAGCTGGAGCTGGGTCTGGGCTTGGCTAGACCAATCCTGGAAACCCCGGGAACTCAATGCAGGTCTTCCATGTGCTTGGTGGGAGGAGTCTAAATACTTGAACCATTGCTTGCTGACTTCTGGAGTGGGTATTAGCAGGAAGATGAGGTCGGGAGTTGGAGCCAGGCCTTGAGTCCAGGGACTCCATGAAAGATACATCATCTCAATGGATGTGTTAACTGCTAGGTCAAATGCCTACACTACCCCTCTTACTCTGATTGGCTGAATAGGGTAGCTCACTCTAAGTTACCAAGTGTATCCCAAAAGAATTGTCACTGAGTTGTGAGATGTGCTTCTGAAGCTGAGTGATGTCACTCATTCACCATTTCCAAATCGTAAGGCTAATTTTTTAAGACCCCAAATCTCAATCTTACTAAGGTAAGCTATAGAAGAAATGGGAAAACCAGAATAAATCCATGTGTGGGTTTATTCTATGCACCTGTAAATAGCCCTAGACATATATATGAAGCTCAGAGGTCACATGGGACTTGGTTTGAAAATCATTGCTGAGGCCGGCGCTGTGGCATAGTGGGTAAAGCCTCCACCTACAGTGCTGGCATCCCATATGGATGCTGGTTCGTCTCCCAGTTGCTCTACTTCCAACCTAGCTCTCTGCAATGGCCTGGGAAAGCAGTAGAAGATGGCCCAAGTTCTTGGGCCCCTGCACCCACATGGGAGACCCAGAAGAAGCTCCTGGCTCCTGGCTTCAGATCGGTGCATCTCCGGTTGGTGCAGCCAGTTGAGGAATGAACCAGCAGATAGGACCTCTCTCTCTCTCTCTCTCTGCCTCTTCCTTCTCCCTCTGTGTAACTCTGACTTTCAATCATTGCCAACTCTTGTTTGCCCTGAAATTCTTAGTGAGAAATTGGAAGTGCAGTAACTGAGGAAAACAGGAAAAGGCAGCTTCTGTTGACACTTAATCTCCTGTGTAGATTTGAGTGGCAGAGTATCAGAAGAAATGATGCCTATCATTTGTTGGAAGGATTTTAAGAAGAGTATTTACACATTCAAATTTAATGTATTCTCAAATTTAATGTATGGTCTAGTGGTTAAGCCATAGGGTAGGATGCCTCTGTCCCGTATCAGAGTGCCTGGTTTTTTGAGACTTGGCTCTACTCTCAAGTTCAGCTTCCTGCTAATGAAGACTCTGGGAGGTAGCAAGGGATTTCTCAAGTAGTTGGGTCCCTGCCATCCATACAGGAAACATGGATTGAGTTCCTAGCTCCTGGCTTTAGCCCAGTCCAGTTGTGGCCTTTGTGGGCATTTCAGAATGAACCAACAGAAGGGAGCCCTCTCTTCTCTCAAAATCATGAACAAAAAATGTAATGTATTCTTTAAAATGGCAAACTAAGATTACCTCCACTATAGTAAGCAGTAAAGAACTGTGAGAGTAGAGGCATAAAGAAAAGTGGAATATAATGGCAGGCACTGTGGCTCACTAGGCTAATCCTCCGCCTGCAGCGCCAGTACCCCCAGGGTTCTAGTCCCAGTAGGGGTGCTGGTTCTGTCCCAGTTCCTCCTCTAACAGTCCAGCTTTCTGCTGTGGGCCAGGACTGCAGTGGAGGATGGCCCAGGTGCTTGGGCCCTGTACCTGTGTGGGAGACCAGGAGGAAGCACCTGGCTCCTGGCTTCAGAACAGTGCAGTGCCAGCCATGGCAGCAATTTGAGGGGTGAACCAACAGAAGGAAGACCTTTCTCTCTCTCTCTCTCTTTCTCTCGGTCTAACTCTGCCTGTCAAAAAAAAAAAAAAAAAGAAGAAGAAGAAGAAGAAGAAAAGTAGAATATAAAATAACTTACAAGTTTAGTATATGAAAAATTATATTAGGGAAAACAAGAACATATACTTCAAGGCAAAGGATAATGTTGTTCATATCTAAAGAAAACACAAATAAGACAACTTCCCAAATTAAAAAAAGAACTAGAAGGATGACTCAAGCTAAGCCCTGATCCCCCACTGTTCTGTCCTACTCCTCTTTCTGTTTCCTTCTCTGTTCTTTTACTCAGAGTGACACTCCCAAGGTCACCGGGGAAGGAACTTGAAACACATCAGACTTTCATATAAGAAGTTTTTCAATTTTTAAATTCATAATCAGTTGATAATCCAATTAATTGGCTTCCCAAGTAAATGCATTTCTTCCTTAATAAGTTACACGTCACTATCAATCAGGTCATCATTCTGAAACGCTGCTGAGCCCATCTGAGTGTTTTCTCAGCTCTCTCCTTTTGCGGGTAGAGACTTATTTTGGAAGTCTGAAGGAGAGAGATGATGTTTCTTGGCTCTGTCCCCACTATTGTTTGCTGAACACGCTGTGCGTGACAAAGCCATCGGAGAGAGGCTGTGAAGGCTGGTCCTCACTGTCACAGTCACGGGGCAATCCCGAAGAGCAGGGCAAGGCTGAGGACCATATTCCTCTCGTGCCTCGGGGAGGGTGATTTCAAAGGTTTGTGCGTGGTGGTACTGTGCCAGCTCAGCACTGGCTGATCTCAAGGGAAAACGTTGTGAAACTTCATAAACCTGAGTTGGGCTGGTGACCACGGCAGCCAAGTCATAGTTGGTAGGTGACTGCTGACAGTTAACCCCCGAAGAAGCTGATAACAGCATGAAGGATATCGTACTGATACCGATAAGAATTCCCAATGTCAAAAAGGTGATGTTTTCCTCTCAATCCCTCACACCCATTAACATTTTTTTCCTTAAAAAGAAACTGACTATTACAGTGGAATGGTTTGAAATTCAGAAGGGAAAGCTTTTGGGATAAGGAAATATGCAGGATCAAAAAAGCTATAAAACATTTAAAATCATGATAAATAAAAATACAATTTGGGATGAAGAAAACTATAGGGTTTGAAAGTGGAGAAAACCACTAGAAAAACAGAGAATATAGCAAACATACAATAATTCTGCAAGCTGAAATGTTGAGGTTTTTTCCATTTCTTCTTATTTTTTGCCTTTTTAAGTATTAACTAAATTTGAACTATTTCTAATGCTGGTCAATTTACTATTTTTACTGGCAACTGAAGTTCTTGGCTAAACTTCCTAGGGCTATTTATGGACATTTTCCCCTCGCCTGCCTATAAAAATACATCACTGGAATATTTTTAACAGCAAAGTCTGCATGAGACACTCTACTTTCCTGACCTCTCAGATACTTGTGGCTGCTTCTAAGTAGCCTTATTTGTAAACCCTTATGAATTTTTTTCCCAACTGGCATCATTTTTATTAAAAAAAATAGAGTGGTCTATTCATTAAGAATATACTGCAAATGGCTAAAACTCCGGTTTTCAAAATTTCACATGACTTTAAGTACTGTTGTTACTTACAGAAATGATTTAGATCTCAGTGATCCTGATGGAAGCATCCGCTGTCTCTTTGATAAAAACCAAAGCTCCCAACATGTTCTGTTTTTCCAGCTTCAATAAGGTCTATAAGTAAAAAAGCAGAGAACGAAAATGCATTACCCTTTCTTTAAAATGATATACAAAGGAATATTTTGAGAGGTTATAAAATATCATTCTTCACCTGCAAATAGGAATATATTCACATCACACAAATCAGAAATTGCAAGGAGCAAGGGTCCGTTGTAGCAGTGAACTTGCCCCCTTGGAACACATGCCACAATGAAGTGCCTGGTTCCACTTCCAATTTCCTGCTAATGTGCACCCGGGGAGGCAACAGGTGGTGGTTCAAGTATTTAGGTCTGTGCTTCCCATGGGAGATCCAGATTGAGTTCCTGGTTCCTGACTTTGGCCTGGTCCAACTCTGGCTGTTGGGGAAATTTGGAGAATGAGCCAGTGGATGGAAAATCTCTCTTTCTCTGCCTTTCAAACAAAATGATGTTTTATACAATGATGCTTTTTAATGGCAAGTCAATTTCCTTACATGTAGTGATTGAGTCTCATTGATCAATTGTTAGTTGCTGCCTGAGGAATCAGACGGAGAAGGATTTGGAGGTTTAGCTCAGGTTCAGTGAGAAGGAATGTTGTGATTTCAAATTTTGAAAGAATTTTTAAACATTAGTGGATTCGGAGAAGTTACAGCTATTCTTCACAGGAAGAAATATTCTAGTATGTTAAGTAGAGCAGTGATGCATATCTCAAAGAAGTACTCTTTTGGATAAAAAAAAATCATTTTAAAAATTAAAGGCTCCTGGGGCCAATGCTGTGGCTTAGTGGGTAAAGCCATCGCCTGCAGTGCTGGCATCCCATATGGGTGCCAGTTCGAGTCCTGGCTGCTCCACTTCCAATCCATCTCTCTGCTGTGGCCTGGGAAAGCAGTAGAGGATGGCCCAGGTCCTTGGGCCCCTGCACCCTCGTGGGAGTGTGGGAGACCCCATGGAACCTCCTGGCTCCTCGCTTCGGATCAGCCTAGCTCTGGCCATTGCGGCCATCTGGGGAGTAAACCAGTGTATGGAAGACCCCCCACCCCCGTGTCTCTGCCTCTCCTTCTCTCTGTATAACTGACTTTCAAATAAATAAATAAATTTTAAAAAAATTAAAGGCCTCTCAGCTATTTCGAAGAATGTTTTGTTGTTGTTGTTGTTGTTGTTTGTTTTTGCAAAAATCACTCATAGTGTTGTGGTAAATAATTAAGTAATCTAACTCCTAGGTGAGGTCAGTTGAGCTATGGGAATGAAATGGAACCTGATTTGGGAAGAAGATAAGAAATAGCAAACTGTGGACAGGAGGCACAGAAGGCTTCCTAACAGATACAATTCCATTTATTTACTTCATTTATTTGAGAGACGGACAACTCCCCATCCTCTGATTACTTCCTCAAATGCCCCCAATGCTGGGGCTGGGCTGGGCCAAAGCCAGGAGCCAGAAACTCAATCCAGATCTCGCATATGAGTGGCAAGAACCTAATTACTGGACCCATGATTGGTGCCTCCCTGAGTCTGCATTAGCATGAGTCAGGAGCTGGAGCCAGGAATCAGGCACAGGTACTCCACTGTGCGATGTGGGGGCTGAGTGCCTGCCCTTACAATTCTTGGAAGAGATTTTGGCCCTCCGGGTTGCCAATGTCTTATCTAGGTCACAGATGAAAACATCAGACAGAACCAGGCCTTGGTTTGACACCTGCTAAACATTATTTATGTCTTAAGACTGACATCAAACCATTGGTAGCTATTCTATTTATAAGTTTCCTGAGCAGTCTTTGGAGTTTTCAGGTATGAAGTATAGTAGTGCTCTCAGCTCCTAGCTGATACATTTCCTGAAAATACAATTCTCTGAATTAGTGGAGGAATCTTTCAAAGGCTCTGAAGACTCTCACCTATACTTGTGGGGAAGCGGACATTCTATGAGACAAACCTTGGGGAGATTTATATTTTATATAAATATAAACATAAATATATAAACAAACTATGTGATGTAAGTCATTTTGTATAAATCCTTTAATCTCACTGGACCTCAGAAAATGAAGGTTGACCCAGATCAGCATTGCCCAACCTATGACCTCCAGATTTCAGAGAATTCTATCCACTGCCAACTGCCCAAAGGTGCAACTACAACTCATGCATTATTCGCCTGAGTCCTGCTACCCCATGAGAAAGGCTGTGGACTTGTTCTTAGTAAGGGTGGGAATGGCTGGTACAGGTTACGGAAAACAGGCTGCTAGCTCTCTGTTAGCCTGTGACCCATAGAACTGTCTTCTGTATTTATCAAGAGTAAGAGTATTTGACAACAGTAAGAATAATTGCTTCTTTTTTTTTTTTAACCATACAATAGCCTTGAGGCCTATGAAAGTATAATATATTTCTCCCTTATTATATGATGGTTTCTTAATTGACACAGAAATTGAATGCTGCCTTTTGGGTAAGTTTGTTTCCTTCGGTGTAGATATGTGATCCTGATTATATTTGGTACCCCTCCTTGATAATAAATAATCTACCATGGATGTCCTATTTAATTAATTGCATCCTCTGGTTGATAAATTCCAATGAGAAACCAGTGCTGAACATACAGTAATTTACTTTAATAAAAGATGCAATTTGACTTTTCCCAGAATTGAGCAGTGGAGTTTCACCATCAGTTAACATGAGCTATGGAATCTTGGCTCTCTTCAGAGCTGCATGTGGCCAGATACTCTTGTATTAGCGCCAGTAGATACCTCATCTATGATGTCAAAACTCGCAGGAAATTTGAGCTAAGAATGTGTGTTACGCACTCAGGAGGACACCAAAGGAAGAGGTTTAGGTCATACAGACAGACTGTATTTGGAATTGACGTCTTTGAGAGATCAAACTGCCACTGATATTTTAAAAACTTTAACCATGATACATCTTTAGAGGAATATCATAGGCAGCTACATACAAACTTGTATCAGATGTGCTCATGGAGGAATGCCAGGGACTCTCGCCTTCTAATCATACCCTGAAACTGTTCATTTTCCATTTCTAAGAGTGGGTTACTTTTTTTTAAAATCTAACTAGAAAATAAGATGTTGCCATCTTGAAAGTGGTGGTTTGGGGGCCTAATACATAAACTCAGTGATTCCCTTCGTGTAGACCCCAGAACTTGTGCCGTAGGAAAGAAGTAGACTGTGGATATACATCAGAGCCCATGAATGAGCTGAGGCAGTGAGCCTGAACTGTGACTGTTGAGATACTATTTTGAATGTTCCCACTGCTACCTTTTCAATGCATCATGTTGTGGCTAATATTATATTAATTCATTAAAACTACATTACTGAAGCTATAATTTTTAAATAGCATTTTTGATGTTACACGTACTTTAACTCACCCACATTGCTTGCCAAGGTCCCTAACTTTGAAAACGTTGGGAACCACCATCTTAGTGCACTTCAGGTGAGTGACAGGCTGGTGGACAGCTATTTTGAGCAAAGGGGCTGTCTTGTCACAGCTGCCTGTGTACTGGATAAAGGGCAAAGCAAGCCTTGAGAAGGAGCAATCCTATTTAGAACTCAGCTGGCCACAGGCTACATTTTACTTGTCACTACAGTACATGGTGTGACCAACAAGTTCTTGCTCAGATCCCAGGTGTCACCTTATTTCTGAGCTATTGAACCAAAAATAACAATAAAAAAGGCAACAGATTCTAAATGTTCTACCAAGATTACAACTCTCAGGTATTTTACCTCTAAATTAGTGGAATTTCATAGTTAGTAAAACTACATAGCAGGTGTTTTCTGTAGGAAGAGAAAATGAGCAGTTACTGGCCAGAATAAATACTAAAACCACTATCTGTATAGGAAGTCAAACTGAAGAGTGACGGCGGTGGCAAGTGAGGGGACTGCTGCCCTCTAGTGGTGACCTCTCCCTCTCTCACTTCACGTGGAGAACGTGTAAGCAAACTTGGTCAACTGCATCTAAAATACCAAACCTGTGTAGTGAAACATCAGCCCTTTTCAAGTTTTTGGGAGGTTATGACATAAAAGGAAAGGCATTGGGAGGAGACAGGTACTGAGTCTAAATCTATAGTCTTAAAATGCCACTATATTTTACTTAAAGTATGTCTCAAATTTTCCTTTTCCTTTTTCTGATTTAATATGATGTCTCTATTTGCCCCAGTCTTTCTGTTCTTGATGTTGGTACTTTAACTTGGATGGTGGTAATAAATGTGTATCTGGTTCCTAATGCTTACCTCTGCCCTCATCTATCTTCAGTTGTGCTACTAAATGATTTTTCCTAATACCCTAATACCTTTACATCAAAAATGCTATTTAAAAATTACAGCTTCAGTAATGTAGTTTTAATGGATTAATATAATATTAGCCACAACATGATGCATTGAAAAGGTAGCAGTGGGTATTAGGGTTGATGTTGTGCAGTTAGAACTTGAAATTGTGCTTCAGCTTTCAATGCCTCCATTCAGAATTTACATTGATTTTACCTGCTTATTTCCTAGTATTTTCACATCATCCTCTCTAGTATTCCTGATCAGCCAGCTACTCAAGTGTGTTCCTTCACTGTTCAACACACATGAGCTGTTCTTAGTCTCTACCTTTTTTCCCCAAGGTTCTTCCCTCATTTATCCACTCCTAACCCTGTGTCCACAGAGTCCTCCCATGTGTCCAATTCCCACCCATTCTCTGAGAGCCATTATATGCCATTATTTCCGTGAGGACTTTCTTAAACTAGTATGGCCATAATAACTTGTCTCGTAATTCCTATGGCCTATTTTGGATATACCATATCTTTTGGTGCTTGATTTTTTTATAAGAGGAAGTTACATCATCATACTTATTCCATGACATTACTCTTCAGTCTCATTCTGGTCAAATTTTATACTGCTGGTTGCAGATTACTGTAATAATGTCCCCACTTTGTTCATGCCTCCTTGTATCCATGCTTGTGAACAGACTCTTCTATAATGAATTGGGACTTATAAATCTGATATAAAAAATGTGACATAATTTGGGCAAATAGACAATAAGCAAATGTGAAGCAAAAAGAGACTTGGAAAATGTTGTGCACTGAGGACTACCTTCCCTTGTTTCTTGTGGGAACCCTGTGACACTCATGTAAAAACGTTTGGGTTATCCTGACAGACACACTTGGCCCAGTACTCCCTGTTCCCCAATTCAGCCAGTACCAATTGCCAGACATGTGACTGTGGCTATCCTAGACTGAAGCTGCATGTTTGAGCCCAGGAAAGACCAGCAGAAGAACTGGAAAACTGACATTGCCAGCTGGCACTGTCAACTGCAAAATAATTCTTGTCTTAAGTGAGTAGTTTAAAGGGAACTTGTTTTGCAGCAAAAGCTAACTGATATAACACTTATTTGTTAGCCAATTATTACTTGAGTGTTAGATGTGCTGTAATGTGAGCTGAGAACAAGAACTGTGACATTTTTTCCAAAAAAATCTTCAGAATTTTAAACAGTGCTAGGCCTATAAGTAATACTGCATAGACATTTGAATTAAATTTTTCCTCTAATAATGTTAATATAGCTTGATTGGTACCAGGAAACGAGACTGATGAGCTTCAGACACAATGACATCAACTGTATTTTCTAATTTTAGGTACAATTTTTTCTTTTAAAACACATAGAAACAGAGAGAATAGCTATAGTTAAATGCTAAACATTCAGTAAGTCAGCTGAATTGTAAAAGGGGAATTGGTATACTCATAACTTTCCAGTATATTTGGAACCTTTGTTCAAAATAAAAGACAAGAGAAAATAAGTAAGAGTCATACTCATCCAATAAGTTAAACATTTCACTTATAAAAGATCTAGGTCACCGTTTAAAATGAAAGATCCATCGGACATCACCACCAGGTTGCCAGTTCCTCCATTAGCGCCACTGTCATCGTTCATTATCCTAAGGAATTCATTCCTCAGAGGAGGATTAGGGAGGGAAAAGCTGAGGAAGCCTTCAATGACTGCTGCAGATTGAGTGACCAGAGACGAACCTGGGAGCTTTCAGGCTGAGCAGATCCTCTAACGTTTGCAGGATTTCCAAGTAGATTCCAAGAGCAGATGGTTGCCAACGCTTTTCTTAAAAGTAGGATGGTGACCTACCTCATTTTAAGAAGATGACTCTCCGCGATGAAGAGCTTTTGCGTTTCAGTTAATAAGTAGTTAAAGAGGAGAGGAGAGGGAGTGTGCTGTATTTCCCTGTCTTTTAGTAGGAGGCTCAGAATTTAAACTTCAAGCACACAGAGTTGTCCTATGTATTCAGAGCACTTCTCCCTGTGGACTGAGCCATGGGATCCTCAGGAATTTAGTAGAATGACCCCAGTTAAAATGTAGCTGGCATTCTCTGACTTCTGTGCTGTTAAGCCTGCGTACAAATAAGAAAAACCATCATTTTCTGCAAAAACTCTGGAATGCTACTGACCAACTTGGGATATTTATTATTCCAGGGAAACTTTTTACAGGAAGCTTAATCTTCAATTACAAGCTGTCAGAGACATTATTTTATTAAAATATATAAGAATGAATTAAAGCAAAATAATCTGAAAATAAACTTCAAATGCTTAGTTCAAAATCCTGCAACAGAATGAATAACTACAAGTGTTTTAGGCATTGACTGAAACATTTTTTTTTTCAAAGAAGCAGCAGTCTAAAAAGATAACTAATTTTGTGCAATGATAGAGATTGGACTTGTTAAATTAGTGACTCTTTTCCTAGGTATTCTTCCATGAAAGCATGGAATTCAAAGTTAGAAATGTTAATGTCACTGCAGTTGATGCAATTAAGTTCATATCACAGGAATAGAATCGTTGGTTAAATAAAGACCAAGTAGAGAAAATTCTGGTTTAAATAGCATCTTCCTTAAAAGCATGCTATGCTTCCAATTGCTGATGGAAAATAATGGCCACAGATAAGACAAAACCCTTCAGATCCTTCTCTAGTTCTGCACTGCGCTGAGCACAAAGGCAAACAGCTTCAGAAGTGCCAGGTCTCTACGTAACATCAGTTGACAGAATCACAATCAGAACACATGTGCCTGAGGACTCGGTTTACGTGGACAAGTTCAAAGTGCGTATCTAAGCAGAGTAAGCTATGGTTAAGTTTACAAAGATTCATACTCTCAAGAAAATAGTCTCTCATTTTGATTTTAAAACAAGGACTTTGCATAGACTTGTCGTGAAGAAATGATGAAAGTTTGAGGTGATGGATATACCAATAACTTGATTTGATCATTACTGATCAAACGTCACATTGTACCTCAGCAAGATGTGCAATTATTACAATCGATCAATAAAGCAGTGATCCCAGACTTGAGCTGGAATAGAGGTAGGGGAAACATTTCTATTTAAAGGCTCAAAAATCAAATTTCTAGTGTGTTTTGCAATTTTCCCCCAGTATAAATGAGGAAACTGATGTAGCACCTATTGTTTTAAAATACGTTCTACCCTTTCTGACTGAGCCGAGGCTCCACACACTTAACTGTGCCTCGTTGAGCTCCATTCCTGAGCATTCCACCCTGTCACCAGTTACAAGTGACGAGGCATGTCCTGGTTTCTGTCTATTTATAGAACACAGGCGATGACCACAAGTGACAGATGGTGTTCATGTTAGCTGAGACTCGAGTGAAAGTTCTAAACTCTTAGCTTTAAGTGAACGAGAAGTGGGCTCCTGATTAACTATTCTTTTTTGCTAAACAATTTCTATCATTATCTGCCTAGCTATCAGCTAGCCATCTATCTATACTCTTAGAACTGGGAGAAGCACGTTACCTGCTCTGATCCAGTAAACAAAGAAAGAATTGCAAACCTCAGGACCAGCATTGGGGTACAGCAGGTTAAGCTGCCACCTGTGATGCTGGCTTCCCGTATGACACTGGTTCAAGTCCTGGCTGCTCCACTTCTGACCCAGCTCCCTGTTAATGTGTCTAGGAGAGCAGTGGAAGATGGTCCAAGTGCTTGGGCCCCCACCACCCACGTGGGAGACCAGGATGGTTGTTCCTGGCTCCTGGCTTTGGCCTGGGCCAGGCTTGGCTGGGGAATGAACCAGCAAATGGTAGAGCTCTCTGATCTCTGGCTGTCTCTCCCCCTCTCTCTCTCTGTGTCACTCTGGCTGTCAGATAATAAACAAACAAACAAACAAACAAACCTACCTTCTTTTTTAAGGAGTCTGATTTAGAAGAAGGTACTGGAAAAAGAGATACAGTACATTAAGCCAGTCTGCTCTCCCAAGGGCATTACACTTTCTGCTCAGGCGAGTAGTCAGCGTTAGAGAAATCAGATCAAGGTGTCAGACACATGGGACAGAGTAAGTGACAGAATTTCCCGAGTGTGGTCCAGCGTGGTGAACATTCGACAGCACTCGGACGGGCCCGGCAGGCACTCACTAGAGGACAAATCATAGGGTGTGTGGTGCAGCCAACACTGAGTGTTGTGCGCTCAGTCATTAAGCTCGTCTTCGTGTTTCCCATGGCCTCTGGTGTGGCTGTCTCCAAGGGTGTCACGAAGGATTCAGCGACGTGAAGGTGTGCACGCCATGGACGGCAGAGCAGGTGGCGAAGTGCGAGGAGCCCGCGCTCCTCTGCCTGCTCCACCACCCTGGAGGAGCGCGAGGAGATGCTGGTGGGTGATGGGGCGGGACTGTGGAAGACGCCTAGGCCGCCTGTGTCAGATGCGGCCAGACAAGGACTGCCACTGTGCCCTCTATGACGCACCAAGCAGAGCCAAGAAGGAAGTCCTGGTGTTTCTCTTCCGGACCCCTGTGTGTGCACCCCTTAAGAGCAAAATGAGGCCGGCGCTGCGGCTCACTAGGCTAATCCTCCGCCTAGCGGCGTCGGCACACCAGGTTCTAGTCCCAGTTGGGGCGCCGGATTCTGTCCCGGTTGCCCCTCTTCCAGGCCAGTTCTCTGCTGTGGTCTGGGAGTGCAGTGGAAGATGGCCCAAGTGCTTGGGCCCTGCACCCCATGGGAGACCAGGAGAAGCACCTGGCTCCTGCCATCGGATCAGCGTGGTGCGCCGGCCGCAGCAGGCCGGCCGCGGTGGCCATTGGAGGGTGAACCAACGGCAAAGGAAGACCTTTCTCTCTGTCTCTCTCTCTCACTGTCCACTCTGCCTGTCAAAAAAAAAAAAAAAAAAAAAGAGCAAAATGAAGGGCCCGCGCTATGACATGGTAGGCTAAGCATCTGCCTGTGGCGCCGGCATCTCAAATGGATGCTAGTTCGAGTCCCAGCTGCTCCTCTTCCCATCCAGTTATCTGCTAATGGCCTAGGAAAGCAGTGGAAGGTGGCCCAAGTGCTTGGGCCCCTGCATCTACATGGAAGATCCAGAAGAAGCTCCAGGCTCCTGGCTTCGGACTGGCCCAGCTCCGGCCGTTGCAGCCATTTGGGCAGTGAAACAGCAGATGGAAGACCTTTCTCTCTGTCTCTCCCTCTCTCTGTCTGTAACTCTACCTCTCAAATAAAAATAAAGAAAATCTTAAAAAAGAAAAAAAAAGGCAAAATCGGGGCCAGTGCTTTGGCATAGAAGGCAAAGTCACTGCTTGCAGTGCTGGCATCCCATTTGGGTGCCCACGCGAGTCCTGGCTGTTCCACTTCTGATCCAGCTCTCTGCTATGGCCTGGGAAATCATGGAAGATGGCCCAAGTGCTTGGACCCCTGCACCCGCGTGGGAGACCTAAAAGAAACTCCAGGCTCCTAGCTTAGGACTGGCTGACCTCCGATTGTTGCGGTCATTTGGGGAGTGAATCAGTGGATGGGAGATCTCTCTCTGCCCCCCATTTCTCTATGATTCTCTGCCTTTCAAATAAACAAAGTTTTTTAAAAAGATTATTTTATTTGAAAGGCAGAGTTATGAAGAGGCAGAGAGAAAGAGAGAGAGATAATAATTAAAAAAAAAAAAAAAAGAGCAAAATGATCTTTGCCAGTTGCAGGGATGCCATCGCGAAGGAGCTGACAGGGATCAAGCAGGGCTTACAAGTAACTTCTCCAGGAGGTGAGAGACCACAGTGCTCTGCAGGAGAAGCTAGGGGCAGCACAGTCCCCTGGAGGGCGAACCTCTGTGCCTAGGCAGCCTCAGACCTGCTCCTGGGGAATACTGGCTGCCCCCTCCCTGCCAGAAAGCAGGGGCCCGGGGATCCAAGTGTGGGGAGGGCAATCCTCTTACCCCAGTTGCCAAACAGTCCCCACTCCCACACCTTGTACCTCCCTCCTCCCTTCATCCCTCATGGTTCTGGCCTTCCCAGAAACTGCATTTGATATTCAAATTCTTCTTGGATTGAAGCAGACCAAGTTCTCCCAGGCGCCCCAGTCTAGGGAAGGTTTTTTTAATCCTACTTCTCACCTGCTCCTTTCTCTTCCTATGAAGCTAACTTCTTATGGCAACAATGACTGCACTTGTCTGTTTAGTTCTGTGTATGAAAGCAGTGTCCTGGAAATGACCCCTGCCTGTCCTGGCTGGTTCCCCTCTCCTCCACTGGTCTCAGCCACTCCTGAAAGCAGGCCCAGAAGGGGCCTTCGGTTAAAAAAAATAAGACAACAATTTAAAAAAAAAAATCCTGTTGTTTCCAATGTCATGGAAAAAAACCAAAATGCATCAAATGTAATGACATTAAAAGCTAAGACATAAAAATATCTCAAGTCATATAAAAATAGAACTTCAGAAGTCCAAAGAGAAAATTTTTTGGCTACAGTAATCAAGGAAATCTTTGTAGACAATGAAGCATTAAAGCCAAATCTTAGCATTTGAGCTGCATTTAATATAGCTTACAAGCTATTGCTTGTAATATGGCCTTACAAGCCAGTTCACTTCCAACTCAATCTTCTCTTTGGCAAGATGAAAGATTTTGATTATGTGGAGACTAAGGAGAGAGAGAAGTTGAGTGGTTGGTAGTGATAGTGACACTGAATGTGGCCCACAAGTCTGTAAATTCAGTAGGTTCCTTGAAAAATGTTGATGCCTAAAGCAGTTTTATGTCAAACTTGGATAGGATTTCTTTCTCTCTCTCTTTTTTATTTTATTTTTTTGACAGGCAGAGTGGACAGTGAGAGAGAGAGAGAGAGAAAGGTCTTCCTTTGCCGTTGGTTAACCCTCCAATGGCCGCTGCGGCCAGCACATTGTGCTGATCTGAAGCCAGGAGCCAGGTGCTTCTCCTGGTCTCCCATGGGGTGCAGGGCCCAAGCACTTGGGCCATCCTCTACTGCCTTCCCAGGCCACAGCAGAGAGCTGGCCTGGAAGAGGGATAGAATACGGCTCCCCAACAGGGACTAGAACCTGGGGTGCCAGCGCCAGAGGCGGAGGATTAGCCTATTGAGCCGCAGTGCCAGCCTGGATAGGATTACCAAACTGACAAAAAGGAAATGTAGGAATGG